TTTTTTTGCGGAACCGGGGATTGAACTCAGGCCCTTGTGCTTGCCAGGGAAGCGCTTATTCCATTGAGCCATCTCCCTGGCCCCTAAAATTAAATTTTTGAGATAGAATCTTGCTATGTAGCTCAGCCCAGTCCAGACTATGTAACCCAGGCTAGCCTCCAATTCACGGTGATCCTCCTGCCTCAGCTTCCCAAGTGCTAGGATCACAGACGTACACCACCATGCCCAGGAAAGGTTTTATTTAGAGATAGGATCTCAAGAAATTGCCTAGAATGGTTTCAAAATTACGTTATCTCTTTGCCTCGGCCTCTGGAGGAGCTGGGATTACCAGTGTCTGTCCCCACACCTGGCCTCACACAGTAAAGCTCTTAAGAAGAAAGCTCTTATTTTCCTGAGACAACTGTGTCCCTAAGTCAGCAGGTAGAGTACCTGAATTTCCTGTTGATCAAACATCCGCAGCCACTCCAGGCTGACGACATTGGCCAGGCCCTGTCGGAATGCCAGGCAGTGTGGGCGGATCTGCTTGTTCAGCCTGTAGTCAGCTACCAGGTGGATATAGGCGATGCGGTTGGCACTGGTCACAGGGATATCTTTTCCACCAAATTTTAGTTCAACCACCTGAGTATAAAGCACAGACCATCAAAATCCCCAGACTCTGACAGGGCAACACAAAAGCGAGAACCAAAGGAGGACGATCAGTAGACCGCTGCAGGTGCACTCAAAGGGGGATCTGGGCGTTGGTCCTCCTGTGTTCTGTGCCCCATCCTGCCTTTAGGATCATTAGGCGCCACTGCTTTCTCAGGAACACTGGTGTACTGGGGGGTGGGGTGCTGTGAAACAGTGCCTTCTAGCAACTCCCTTTGCAAAGAGAGATCACAGAGGGCGAGAAGAGGGGATCGCAGCGAGCCAGAACAAAATAAAGGGACTCCTTTGGAGAAGGCACAGCAGAAGGAGCGGGATCACAGGTCCCTGCAGCACCCCCACTCTGCCTGTCCTCAGTGTCCTACTGTGCGCAGTATCAGAAGCGTGACTTAACAGGTAGTGGCGGAGACGCATGGTCAGCCAGGGTCTAACATGCACGAACACAGGTAGCAAGAACAGTGCTTTTTGGGACACAGTCACGCCCGCGGACGAATGATGTGGGTCTGGAGTAGGGCTCAGGAAGTCTGTGGGCACCACAGCAGTGCATGTTCAGAAAGTAGAAACACCGAAGCACGGACTCCTGCTGTCAGGTGAGGCACGGCCGCAGGCCACCACACACCCGCAGTTTTCCTCACTAGTAGCATCATGCAATCTGCCTTGTCTACCTTGGAATTGCTGTGATTACGTGGACTCGTATATACAAAGTTGACCAGCAAAATCCTCAGATCGTAATAGACATGGAAACATGATTCAAGAGTGTGCTTTAAACATTCCTTGTTGGCTCCATGAGGAAGCATCTGCCTAGCGTGCATGAAACTCAACGGCACTCCTGGGCTGGATGAGGAGTGACCTATGCTGTGGATGAAGAGTACCTCAAACAAAGGAGGTAAGTCCAGACTCCAGCTGTCCACACTAGCAGGCCACAGGGAAGTGGGCACCCAGCAGTAGCCCAGTGCAGTCTCCAGGTGCCCGCTAAGTGGGGGGCCAGCAACTCTCAGATCTCAGCTGGGATGGCCAGCACTGCACCCTCAGCCCTCACAGCCCACAGCCCAGTCCTCCTATAGCCGTCCTATGCCCAGAATGACAAGCGAGCACTGGGCCGGGGCAGCCGCTTCCACGCCCAGCGTTTACCCACTGTGCACAAAGGTTGCTTCAGCATGGCTGGGAGCTTCCCTGACACTGCCCTGCACCTGTGGCTGCAGAGCGAGCAGCCCGCAGGTGCTCACTTCATAAAGGGCAGGCAGCTTAGTGCCGTATTTGTCTGATAGGCTTTTTCGCATTTCACATTTTAAATGGTGATGTGATCTTCTTTACTAATTGATTTCTTAGCCTTGGAATCATCAAGCCTAGCAAGGGGCTTTCAACCCATTGTCTCTGGGCTGAGCAGGACTGTGTTCATTACCCTAATTCCTCTGCTGTTCTCGACAGTCCATCTGTCACCAGCCTTGAGCGGCTAGCTATTATATCACCATATAGCAAGAGCCACCCCTTCCCTTAAATGGATTAAAAGCAGGTAATAAATGATGATGTGCCCGTGTGATTAAGAAGACAGAGCACCAGTGAAGTTCTCGGTTCAGTGAACTCCCACAGCCACCCACAACCTGCTCAGTCAGACAAAACTGCTGTTCTCTCAGGTTCTCCGTGGGCTACACTACTTTTCATTTGAGTCCATCTCTCAGCTAAACCTAAACAACCAAGCACATTTAAAACCCTTGTCAACTGAACAGTTTCCTTTCTGAAGGTACAGCACTTCAGAAGCTGGTTGGGACAACACCTGCAGCCCGGTAGCTGTGTCCTGCTGCATGTCATGCCCACCAGGACAGGAAAAGCCCTGTGGCCTGCTCAAGGCCACAGAGCTGAGCAGTAAGGGTAGGACTCTCACAGTCACAGCACGGGCGTCCACCCCCAGTAGACGACTCCTGATGCCCCTCGGCCGGGTCCTCCCGGAAGAGGCGAAGAGACCCGCATCCCAAATGTCAGGTACGTTATTGTCAGCCAATGAACAGCCACACTGATTAGCCCAAAGAAAACAAATCTGGTCAGCCATTATTTTAAAAGGGAAGACTGGGGCCAGGGATTAAATCAGCAGCGTAAGGGCCGGCCTGGCAAGCTCAAGGTCCAGAATTCAATCTCCAGTACTACAAAAAAATAGATGGGAAGACTGACTACCATCACCTGCCAGTGTGTAATTAAAGGTCTGCATATATGGTCTTTCAATCAGGGCCCTTACCTACTTTACCCCACAGGAAGCACTGCCCACTGATACTTACTTCTACAGAAACCGTAACACCCTTCTCTTTGCCACTGAGCTTAACTTTTCTACTTAGACTCTAGCCTAGTTACTCTGCTCTGCTGCCATCGAGAATTTCAAAGCTTAGTGGAAAATTCTGACCAAAGGAGACACTTGTGCTCCTGCCTTCGCTGCAGCACTCTAACGGAGGCTTATGTGACACTTTAGTCACCACCTACTTCAGGAGCCAGACAGGCAGTGTGTTCGCTGGCAGAGGCCGTGCAGGTGTTGCCCTCTGGCTGCGAGCATGCAGTAAGGGTCTCCCTCAACCTGCACAGTGGATGCTCAGCTCCATGCTGTGAAGAAGTGGCTGAAACAAAGCAGCCCAGGAAGCAGCAGCTGCGCAGCACAGCACTGCAGCAACAGGGCTCTGTGCCCAGCCAGACGAGAGCCGGCTCTGCTGGGGCAGAGGTCTCGTTTTATAGCAGGAGGCGGTCGAGCAGGGCCAGTGCCACTGCCAGCTCCCTGCTGCAGGAACCTGCAATTGGACACAGAGAATGCCACATAGGTGGAGCGCCACACACAGGAAACTCTGCTGCCGTGGCAGTGGCAAGGGAGTCACCTGCGGCATAGGCCCAGGCCAGGGCCGGTGTGCCAGCTCACCTGAGCCTCCCCCAAGTCGTTGTTCACCACGGTGAAGTTCAGCCCAAGCTCCTCCACATCTCCCTCATAGCTTTTGAGGAACAGCAGGTTCCGGTAGACCTCAGGGTCCAGGGAGGCCAGGTGGTGGATGTCCACGTCTGCGCTGGTTCCCAGCAGCTTAGACAGGAAGAAGCCAGCGAAGGGCAGCTCCACCAGCATGTTTTCATACAGAGCCTTTGGACAAGACAGAGGACAGGACAGTGGTTATTTTATTTATTTATTTATTTATTTATTTATTTATTTATTTTTGCAGCACCAGGGATTGAACTCAGGACCTTGTGCTTGCCAGACAAGCCCTTATTCTACTGAGCTATCTCCCCGGCCCTATTTTTTTATTTTTTTTTAATTTTTTTTAGTGGTTAGCATGTACAGTCCTGAGGACCAAACCCAGGGCCTTTGCACTGAGGTACAACCACAGCCCTTGACAACATTTATTTATTTTTTGTATTTCGGACAGGGTCTACAGGGTGTCGCTATGTGGATCAGACTCATAGTGATTCTCCTGTTCACAGTCTCCCAGGCGCTGGGATTAGACACACGCCACCACTCCCAGTCTCAATGCCATCTAGTGCGCCCGAGGGGGTGGTGCCTTGAACCCAGCCACTGTGCTTGGCCTAAGCCGGCGTATTAGTTTGCTGAGCTATCAGGCTGGCCCAACATGTTTTATTTTTTGGGGTTTTTTTTGTTTTTTTGATTTTGTGTGTGTGTGTGTGTGTGTGTGTGTGTGTGTGTGTGGCCACCAGGGGACCACAGCCCACCAGGGGACAGGGCTGGCTGGCATGTGGTGCTGGGGGTATTGAACCGCGGTCCCTGTGCTCTGCTAAGCTTGTTCCAAGTAGGTGCTTTAGACCACTGAGCCATCTCACCAGCCCCCAACATGTTTTATTTTGAGGCAGCATCCCGCTAAGATGCTCATGCCTCACCCTCCCAGAGTGCGGGGATGACAGGAATGCACCGCCTCCCAAGCTCCACACACTCTCTTCATGCGTCCTGGAGACAAAGGACGTATGTACAAGCAGAACCCTGATAGGGTCCTGACAGTAGACAGTCCACCTTAAGGACAGTGACTCTATGGCATGGTGGGCCACAGTAGAAGCATGGCAACATACAGCGGGAGCTTAGGGGCCACATCCATCCTTCCTGCCACAGCAGAGGTCTGTAAAATGTGGAACACATGGATGGCTTTGTGGGCGTCACAGGTTCCTGCAGTGGCTACACCAAATTGCCATAAGCAGGGAGGCAGGGTGATGCGAAGAACGCCAAGGTGCTGCCTCAAGTTCTGCAGGCTGAGGCAGACATCCAGGTGCGTGTCGGGAGGGCCGTCCATTCTCCAGAGGCATGAAGACAGGATCTGTCACTGTCATTCCCAGGTCCTGGTGTGCCTTGGGGGTAGTATTACTCTACTTCCTGCCTCTTCTCTGCATCTGCTGTCTCTTTCGCCTTCCTTCCTACCCTAGGTCTGGTGCCAGGGGCTGAACCTGCTCCTTTCTCTTAAGAGTGACTGTTGGATTGTGGGGTCCTTTCCAACCCAGCATAACCTGGATTTAATGAAGTGCACAAAGGCCTATCTTTAATATTTATTTTTTATTTATTACATTTATTTATTGTGTGTGTGTGTGTGGCCAGCTCAGCCCACCAGGGGGCGGGGCTGGCTGGCATGTGGTGCTGGAGGATTGAACCGCCGTCCTTGTGCTTTGCCAAGCTTGTTTCAAGTTGGTGCTTTAGACCACTGAGCCATCTCTCCAGCCCCAAGGCCTATCTTTAAATGAGGCCACCTGAGGACACTTATGAACTACCACTAGCTTCTGGCTCTGTGAACACCAGGGCAGACTGGGAGGGCAGAAGTGCTGGGCACAAGCCAGTGCCCATCCCCGCCGAGCTGCTGGCCCTGTTGGCCATTCTGGCTAGGGCCATGGCCTCCACTGCGGTCTGCGCTGTGCCTCCCAACAGTGAACGGACCAAGTGAATGCTGGCGAGTGTTCTGCAGAAGCCCAGGCATGCCCAGCACATGGAAGCAGGAAGGACCATTGTGTGCAGTCTGCAGCACCACGCCAGGGTCCCGTGTCAGGACACACACACTAACTGACACAAGGTCACAAGACACAACAGGGTACCAAGGAATTACCCAAATTCTTAGCACAGCGAATCCCCAGCTTACGAACACTTCAGCTGTGAGCTCTCACAGGTACAAACGAGCCCTGCACTCAGGATAACTGCAAGCTCGAGCAAATCACAGAGGTGGCTCGCATGTCTACAGACACGACCACGGCTGTGCTGCTGTGCGCTCCCTGCGCGGTGGCGCAGCGGTGGGCAGCGGGGCAGCACAGGCCAGAGGTCACTGTACTTTCCACGTGTGTTTGGCTTTTCTCTTTACACTGTGTATTTGTGTCAAAGATGTGCAAGACTCAGTTTGTAGGATTTAAGAATGTTCTCCCAGAATGGAACTTGTTCCTAAGTCAGGGACTAACTGTATTCTCTTCCCAAAAGGCTGACCTGGAAGCTACGAAGACAGGGGAACGTGAAGCAGAGCCAGGACACGAGAACCCCATTTTCATCTGCCCCCTGTGGACAATGTCCTGTGTATGGTGCGATGGGTCCCACAGAAACCAGCAGGAGCCTGGCTCCCTCTAAGACGCTGTTCTGGGCCAGACACACCGAAGCTGCAGAGACGTGTGTCTGCAGTGAAGCAGGCAACGCTTGCTCACCCGGTGAGGTCGATGAGCCTGAGCCCCGCTTGCACAGCAGAAGTCCTCGCCAACAGAGGGAGGTGGAGCCGTGAGACACCAGGAAAGACACAGAGGCAAAAGCTGTGTCCGGACCTTGCTCCCAAGGTTTGGAGGGCCCAGTGCCGCCAGGCAGGCGGCTCCATAATGGCACAATCAAACCAAAGGTCAGTGGTGAGGGCACTGCCTTCCCAACTGGAGCGCACCACAGGTGCTCAGGCAGGGAGGTGCACCCACCGAGCCGAGAGCCTCTGCTCCGTCTGCTAGGATACCTGCGCAGGGTGTACCCAGTACACCAAGGCCTGCACTGCAAAGAATCCCTGCTGCCAGGACCCAAGGAAATGAGACAACACTTAGCAACATTTTCCCTGGTCACAAGAGCTGTACTCTGGGAAACCAGTATCACAGACAGACACTAGGAAGCGCACTTCTGGTCTGGCCAGCACAGGGGGCCACGCTTCAGTTCTGATCCAAAGACTTAAGATTTCCAATTAGCCTTGAAAAGAGGACAACACAGGACCTCTGAATGGGAGAACAAGGGCCAAATGGCAACCAGCAGCCCAGCATCCACTGATAAACGTAAATAAGGAGTCACTCCAGAAAGTCAGGGTTTGCTTCAAGTTAAGAACGCTGAGCACTATTGACCCAGGGCACTCATCAGCACCATTACTTCTAAATGAACGATGAGTGCAGAACAAGGGCAGCATTCTGCACCAGACTCCGCAATGCTCGCCGGAGCCGAGGCGCAGCCCTCATCTGTGTGGTGGGCTCTAGCGGATACCAGACGCGGAAAGCATCGGATGCTCGATACCGAAGGTCACTGTTCGCCATTTCTGCATCAGTAACAATAAACCACAGAGGTCTGCTAAGTGCACCAGGGCTACCTGACTCGCAAACAGAAACCCCACCGTGACTCATAAAATGTAAATGCATCGGTATCATTTTTTATGTGAGGCAGGTTTAAACTTTTAGAGCATTTAATATACAAGCACTAATAAATGATAGCACTAAAAACTATGATTGCATCAGCTAAATGGATTATAAATTAAATTTCCATAATGTATGCAACTGAGATACAAATGTAAGCATAAATCAAGGTATTTTCTAAACACAGGTTAATTACACAACTTCAAAAACTGCCTATTTTTTATGCAGAATAATCCACTTAGCATTTTTCAGCCATTTGCACCACGCTCGTCCCTAGAAGCATATCAATAACTACCTGTCATGAAAAATTAGCAAAAGGTATATGGAAAGAACCCGTAATGTATTTTTCAACTGTCTATCCTTTATGAGTGTTTATAGCTAGAGATTGTGCCAAAATGATTTGAAATAAAAAAGGATTAATTATAGCAGAAGCCTTTTAATACAAGTGAGTGCAGCCGTGACACAACTAATGCAGATGGCGGCTCCATCAGGAGAACGAATGGGAGCCGCACCGCAGGCCACTTCTGCTTGCTGCCAAGTAACTCCAGTAATTTACTACATTAAGAATCAATAAAAAAATAATGCTTTTCAAATGCATCTCTATCAATCTTCAGGTAGTTCTAAAGTGAACATTTATAACTTAATCTAAAAACTATATGAGATGATATCTTGCTTCAAAGCCATCCTAATTGAGCAAGTAGATAATAACTTTTAATTATTTCAAATCATGCTAACCACAGAGCTTTAAAAACAAAAAAGGAAATGTAAGGTGAGGATTACACTAAGATCAACATGCTATTTCATACCTATCGTAGCTAGGTGTAGCAGCACACGCCTATAATCCCAGCAATGAGGAGGCTGAGACAGGAGGATCCCTCCAAGTATGAGACCAGTCTGGGTTACATAGTGAGATGTCTCAGAAAGAGAGAGACAGAGTCAGAGAGAGAGA